AGCATGTCTGCAACAGGAGATTTCGGCAACCCGCTCCGCAAATTCAAGCTGGTGTTTCTGGGAGAACAGAGCGGTGAGTGTCGAACCGAACCTACTGGTCCTGTCTCTTTTTCTTTGTTTGTATATGTGACTCTTATCTGTGTGTGCATGTAACATTATAAGTGAACGTGTGTATCTTGAATTAATTTATTATATTGCAACGTGTGTGTGTCTGCGTGCGTGCGTGCGTGCGTGCGTGTGTTGGAATGTGTGTACATATTTGGCAATACCTTTGATAATATGCTTACAATTGTACTGAAACATGTCAAAAAACAACTTGTGATTACATTTTGAAGTCTTAACTATCATAAATCAGCCAAGGTTTTTCATTGAAATCCCGTAAATATCGGCTGTTACCATAAAGCCTGGTCTTGAACTGCATGTCATATTCTTTTCATAGCATATTGTTGTCTGTCTCCTGTGTAAACATGATATTCACATCTTTGACCCTGTGGTTTGCTGACATGCTGAAATTTGTTGGATCTTCTAACTGTTGAACACTCGCATTTCAAAGCTCAGGAGAACTTGTGTGTCTTCATAAGATATAAACGCCAACACTTACTAATAGATACCATTGAAGTGTCAGTATGAGGATCCATTCCTCTTTCTGAGATATCTGGCCCTGACACATGTGGCCTGTCAATCTCATTTCGTGCTAGTGAAAAAAAATCACTGGTTCCAGAATTCAACAGTACATCAGGACTGGGTTCTTTGTAAATTAGCTGTCAGTATAAAGAATAAACAAAGATCACGTGGCATTATTTTTTTAAACTTTAATAAGACTAAACGTGTAAAAATAGCTTGGACTTTTCCTGGATGTCTAAACATTTGAATAGTAAAAAAAATCGCAAATGTTCAAACTGTTTGCATATATTTACATAGACACTGATGCATGTGTTTATTTCACATGTGGTTTTTCGGTTAATCTATAGCAATTACCCTGCATGTTTCAGTCATGTGAGAAGAATCTGATGTGACTCTGAAATTAATGTGGACAGATTTATGCATTCATGCAGACCTGTTCTTTAGTCTTTTTTTTGTTTGTTTTGTTTTTAAAGTTATGCTTCTGAAATGAAATCTGTTAGCATGTCAGTTTCAAATGTTAGGTGTCTCAAAGGATGGATTTACATGAAATGGACATTTAATTTGTGTAACTGGTTGGATCTTTTCCTTCTAGGAAAATGTTTTGGCAATAAAAGTGATGATCATTGATGTAGAAATGTCTCTGGAAAAAAAAATTGGCATACAGGTCACAACTTCACAAGAATGTAATAAAGATATGTAATGTTGATAGTTACTAGTTAATTCTTTATTTAATTTTGCAGTGGGAAAGACATCATTGATTACCAGATTTATGTATGACAGTTTCGACAATACCTACCAGGTGAGTGAAGATTTTTCTGACTCTGCAACTTTAATTTGAAATTTTTTTTCATCCAAGATTTGTTTGGATGTTTTTAATCAGATGCATGGATTAGTGTATTTTATCCTCAAAGTTTAATTTCCTTGCTTTTATTTTCAGGCCACAATAGGAATCGATTTCTTGTCAAAAACAATGTATCTTGAGGACAGAACAGTAAGTAAAATGTTTTTTTGTTCTAACAGTAAATGCGCATGCCTTTCAATGTTTTAAAGATATTAAATCTATAAAAATATAAGTTCTGTAAAAGAATTTTACCAATGTGTAAATGTCTGGGATGCTATTGATTGATGACTGAGGGATTTGTTTGATTTACATTGATCAATACTTTTTATGACTGCACAATATGTCATTTTTAAAAACATTTTAAAGTCATTTAACATATTGATTTTAATCAAACTGCAATGTTTTTATACTGTTGTAAGGACAATACTGTTACATTATGTTTAGTGTTTTTTTTTTTGTAATTTATTATAATTATTTTAATTTATAAAACTGAGTTTAGCATGAACTTTGTTGCTGATATGCTGAACATAACCTTTGCTGCTGATATGGTGTTAAATCAATGATTGAATAAATAAATAAACAATGATTGTAATGCATTCTACTTTACATCTACTTGTAGTTAACTATCATTATTATTATAGAAAATAATTTAAATTGATTTGACACATTAACGTTTGGTTCTTCTTATGACATATTATAATTGCATTATGCATTAAATTAATTCTGCATCACATTTTTCTCCTTTTCTTTGTTGAACATTAATTTGAACATTTATATTGTGATGTGTCTGTAAAAACCCAACATAAACTGCACCATGAGAAACTCCTGTGCCTTCTTCCCTCTGCTGTGTCTCTTTCGCTCTCTCTCTCTCTAGTTATTTGTTCATATGTGTATGTTTCCTTCTGTAAAGAATTGTTCTTTTTGATTGGTTTTGAGCTGGAAAGTTTTACTCTGAAGATCTGCAGTCTTGATAGCATAACACAATCCTAACCCATACCATAACCCTGCTAATGTGAGCCCATCTGAAGACTCATAACTTAATCCGTTCCCTAGCCCAAATCCTGAACTTGAGAAATGTTTCAGTCCGCTTTGCTTTTTCTTATTTCTTACATTTCATTCAACTCCTTTTTTATCTATTATTTTCCCCTTGAATGTTTCATTTCCCCCCTTTTTTCCTTTATTCTCCTCCTTTTCTTTTGTTTGTTCTCCATTCACACAGATCAGGCTGCAGCTTTGGGACACAGCAGGACAGGAGCGTTTCCGTAGTCTCATTCCCAGTTACATCAGAGACTCTGCTGCTGCTGTTGTAGTT